CCTCTCTGAGTGAGCCTGGTTAAGTGATTTAGCCTCTCTAATTCTGTTTTCTCACTGTAGAACAGATATAGTTATAACATTTATAGATCATTTACTTAAGGAATATAGTTAAAATAAGGCACGTGAAAAGCAATTTGCAAACTGGCAAGGGTATGCAAGTGTTAGTTTCTATGCCTAATAGGTATCCTTTTCCTCCTAAGTTCTAAAAAAGATCACACTTCTTTTAACTACTTTGTTCTACTTGTAGTCATTTCATTTATACATCTACCATTTACTAAGACATCTGTTTTGCCTCATACCAGGAAGGTTATGAGAAATACATAAAAATAGGAAGAAAGAAGAATATAACTGCTTTTACATCCTCTACTTTGATGTCTAACAGACTTCACAACTTAAATTATTCAAAACCGCGCCCCTGATCTTTTCCCTAAACCTGCTTAATTCTTCCTTGTTTCAGTTGACAGTAATTTCATCCTTCTGGGTGCCCAAAACAAAAACCTAGATGTCAACATTAACTTCTCTTTTTCTCTCCCATGTCCAGCCTTTCAGAGAATCTTATTAGCTTTATCTTCGAAATATATTGAGAATCAGAACACGTCTTTCCACATCCACTGCCACTACCCTGGTGTCTAAGCCACTAGAATGGGTTGAACTGTGTCCCCTAAAAACACACACATTCAAGTCCTAATCCCTTGTACTTACAAACGTGACCTGGAAATTAGGTTTTTGCAGAGGTCATCCTGTTAAGATGGAGTCATACTGATGAGGGTGGGCCCTAAATCCCACGACTGATATCTTCGTAAGATAAAGGAGAAGAGATGTGGATACAGAGACACACAGGGAGAAGACAGCCACATGACCATGGAGGCAGAAGCTGGAGTGATGCTGCCACAAGGTGAGAGATGCCAGGAAGCGGGAAAAGGAAAGGAAGGATTCTTCTCTAGACCCTGCAGAGGCTGCACAGCCCTGCCGACACCTTGAAACTCTGTCCTCCAGGACTGTGAGAGAGTGAAGTTTTGCTGTTGAAGCCACCAAGTTGCCGGTCATGTGTTATGGCAGCCCTTGGAAACTAGCACAGCCACCATGACATTGTGCCTGGATGACTCACTACCTGCTAACTAAACCCTGTTTCCACCTGCACTTCCCGAGTATATTCTCAACATAGCAACCAAAGGATCCTTTCCAAAGTGTGAGTGTAAATAAGATCCTGTCCGTCCCCAGTTCAAAGCCCTCCAATGGCTTCTTATCTAAGAGTTAAAATGAATTCTTCCAGTGGCTTCCCAGATTCCATAGAACCTGCTACTCTCCACACCCTCCTCCACCTCCCCTCCTGCTACCGCCAGCACTCACTGTGCTCCCGCCTCCTAATTTCAAATACTCAGGTGCTCATGCCTTTGCCCTGGCTGTTCCTTTGCACTCTCTGTTCCTTATCCAGAAGTGATTCTCTAGTTTTTAACTACCAGTGTCACTCAGGCACAGGCCAATCAGAATGAGTCCTGGAGGCTTTTGCTGCACGAGGAGGTCTGCTGCCTATGCAGGCATACTCCAGCGCCTTAGTGTGGGTCTTGCAAACCTTCCTGGATGAATGTCAGCTTCAGCTCTGCTAAAGGTTCAGCTTTCCTGGAGACCTACAGGGTTTCCCTCACCTCCTTCAGGTCTTCGCCCCAGTGCCACCTTCCCAGTGAGTCCCACTGCAGCCAACACTATTAATTGCCCCCACGCTCCATATTCAACTCTGCTACTTCTAGTTCTCTACGAAACTTATTTCCATCTGACCTAGCTGTTTTCCTTATCGATCTTATGCACTGCCAGTCTTCTTCAATAGAATGCAAGCCCCATGGAGATAGGGTTTTTGGTGGTTTTGTTTTGTTTGGCTTTGTTTTCTGTTCTGTTTTATCATCTGCTGTGATCCCAGCACCAGGAACAGTGCCTAGCGCATAATAAACACTCAGTAAACGTTAGTTAAATGCATGAATGAGTGCTTTCAAATAGCTTCAATGATGGCCTATATGTGCATCTATGAAAACAGTCAGAGAAGAGTCCTAAACAGACCATACGCTGTGAAAACTGTCATTTTCAGTGCTCTCATCTGGAACATTGAAGCCCAAGCTAAGAGATGCTCCCGTTCTCCCACCCTCCCATCTCTCCCCACCCCAGAGAGCCAGTTGGGCATGATGGGCCCAGGATGGGTCCTCCCCAGCAGTTCTCTTCATTTTCCTAATTATGATTAAAATGGCTCTTGTGACACAATCCCAGCATCCTCCTTCATGGCGAAAATAGCTTTATTTTTATTTTGTCACATAAAGTATCATTAACAATTTGCCTTGTTTTGACAGCATGGGGCTATAATTAGTTTCTACAGGAAAACGCACCAATTAACACAGTATTTGTTTCTTGGCTTGAATCTACATGGAAATTGGAGGAAGCTAACTGAGAAAATATAAAAAGAGTCTGCATTGACGCTAGCAAGAAACCCACCTGCCTGTGGATTAAGGCAGCTGTCTGACAGTTTAGCTACCTCTTTCTTCAAGGAATGGTTTCCCCTCCCCCTGTTGACCTCCAAGACATTTTATCCCTGCCCATCCCATCCATGATCTCTGCCTTCTCTGAAATCTTTTCATATTTATACGATCACTCAAAACACTCAGAAATAGGTACTGGTCTTTTGCTATTTTCATTATCTTGCCCAGATAAATTAAAATTAAAAAGAATTTGGAATATTATGCAGTAGATTCATACAGAGAGGTTTCTAGGGTAAGTTTATGTGGATAAAGTTAGTCTGAAGAACATTATGTGTGGTACCTCTTGTGATAGCCAAGTGGGAAAATAAGAATGTGTATTCATATTTGCTTATACTTTAGCATAAAGAAGTACTAGAAAGATAAACAAGAATGAAAAAACTATCTGTAGAGGTAGGGGAGCAGGGAGAATGGGGATGATAGAGGAATGAGGTTCTCAATGTATAGCTTTCCTTATCATTTTTAAAAATATTTGAAGCAGGTAAATGTACCTTGTTGATCTTTTGTTGTCATTCTACAAAAGGACTGTGGTGCTACACACATGCAGGACCTAATGCAATGCTGGTGACACCAAATGCTCAGTAAATGTGGTTGGCCGATTACAGGTGGATCAATGGGGCTCTAGGGTAGGTGTGTTTTAGTGAGTCAAAACCAACCTGGTTTCTTTGTGTTTATGTGAACACGGATCCAGAAAAGGAAGTCATTGTGTTGAGATAATCTTTTCTCAGCTCCCTGTCAAACCCAACTTCCTTCTCACTCCATTTGTTCTATAGAATTAGAGAGAAGTTCAAAACTCATGCCACATTCTTCTTCTTATAATAATAATAACGAGCAGGTAGCCTCACAGTTTACACAGCTGTTTTGTGAAAATTTTCCTTTGGACTGTTACTTCTGGAGACTATGCCTTTGTTCCCTCAGTCTGAGCAGTTAGGTCATGTTCGTGGTCCAGGCCAACCTTAGAGGAGACATCTAGTAGAGTGTAATTGCTTAAGTATATGGATTCTAAGTCAGAAAAACTTTGGTTCAAATTCTTGATTTACCACTTATTTTCCATGTACCCTTGGACAAGTTACTTATATTTCCTGAACATTTGTATTGTCATCTATAAACTAGGCATGATAATTTCTACCTGTTAGAATTGTTGTGATGCTTCCATATGGTAAGAGAAGTCAAATGTATAGTACTAAGTCTCATACATGTGAGTACCCAATAAATATGAAGAATGACTTGTTATTATTTTTATTATTTATATGTATTCATTTTCAGGGCCTCCAGTAGGTCTACTGTCTACCCCTACCTGAAATGTCTCCTACTTGCACCTTGGCACAATGCACATGAGGACATTAAAGATACTTTACTTTGGGTTAAGCATATACTTTGCCAAAGTGTTCTCATTAAAAATGTAAGTTTACTTATGAGTTATTGACCCCTTAGCTTAACTTTGATATCATTCTCTTCCAAGATGAGTAACCAAGAGCAGGTTCCAAACAGAGTGGAAACTGGGGGGAGTCAGGAAGAATTATTTCAGAATATGGGCTGCTTCTCCTCAGGGGGAACAGATTCGGGAGGCAGAGTTGGGGGGATCATGGGCATCCACACAGCCTGGGAGATCAGGCAGATGGCACCCAAAGCAGCAATGAAGACTTAGAAGGGGACAGGAACGAGGGACTGGGGGCTTCAGAAAGAGTCCTGTTCTGCAGACATGCCAGGCTGCCTCACAGGCACTATACTGTGTAGTATGTCAGCTCAGACCCTTGGCACCTGCATCTCTGCCTGTTGTAGTGTGTCTGGTGGCAAGCCATTGGGTTTGGCTTCTTGTGTCCTGCCACCAGATTTCCATGTCTGTCATAGTGAGACTGTGCACCAAATGGCTCCATTTCCTCTTGTCAATTACACCCAGGCTTTGGGACATGAATAACTAATTGCTCTAGATGCTTTATAGGATGGGTTGAAGCAAAATGAGACTAAAACTAGGAACAGAGATTGGAATGTACAGTAGTGAGGCAAGGACGGCCAGGTAAAGGAGGTTAACTTTGCCTTTCTTCCAAGGATTACTCAAGCCTGGGGCCATGTTTCTGCAGGACCACCAAGTCTACAATCTGATCATGATTCATTTTTGTCATCATCTTGAGAATTCCCACACGGTAATCAGCTTGGTCTTAAGGTTGTTCCACTTTGGTTTTTAGGATTGATGAGCACACTATATCTACTCCAGTATTTCTCACAGTTAATTCAGTCCTATAGTCTCATTAGACAAACAAGTGTCTCTTCCTGAGCCAGCAGGTGTCACTATTGATCAGTTGGAAATAAACATGGTAGCCTCACCAAAATAAGAGTGGGTCTACCACTGATTAGGAAAAAATAATAAGTTTGGCATTTTAGGTTAAAGAACTACTGTCTCCAATCCACTGGATTGTTGGTGGGCAGCTGAGTTCTCAAAATAATATGTTAATATATTTCCTCATCTTTTCCTACCTGCAGGTGCAAGGTGTGTAGAGGACTTCACGGTGAATGGAATTGAAGAGATGGTCTTCAATGCTTCCACTTTCCAGTGTTAGTGCTCTGAGAGGTAACTTATAATCTTATTTTCTATATTATTTTTTTCTCCTCTTTATAGCTAAGAATAGTCAATCCACATTAACCAATAAGCGAATTCTTCGTGGTATATTTGAGTCCCAGATTGACTTTCCTCCTTTGTTCTAGTCCTTATGTATAAGACTTGATTTCAGAGAGGTATGTGCCAGGAATAATCAGGCAAATAAATCATGTGGTGCACTTCACAATCAAAATGTAAACTTGGGAGAGATGGCCACGGACTCGGCATCATCTGAGGCATGGTTCTCTCTTCCAACACAAGACAATTTGTGAAATGAGTCCATGCATATCCCGTTCCTTTAGAAACACACACTGAATATCATTATATACAAACTACTGTGCTTCCTCCACAAGGCTTACCCAGCCCTTTCTCCTCTAGGGAATTAATTCTCTTATACAACATTCCTCCATCCTCAATGTTTATTTTCTCTCAATATTTTCCTAGTTTCATTTGGTGTAGATGTATTTTTCTACAGCTTGACTGTCAGTTCTAAATTTTTTTTTTTTTTTTAAAAAGACAAAATGTTGGATATCGTCTACCCTAGACCTTCCTCATTTTGCATGTGGGTCATGGCAGTGGCCAGCATTGCTTCGTTCCCTTTTGTAATTGAAACATCAAGAACGATGCCTGGCATAGAAGAGGCACTCAATAAATGTCTGCATGTCAGGCATTTCAGCGATCCAACAACAAAGATCCTTTCTCTGTCCCCTTAGGGAGAAGTTTATAGTCTAATAGGGGACATAAAATATGCATGCATGTGGAATTTCCTAACTTGTATAAAGTATTACAGGAATAGTACATGCAAAGTCATTGGGAACTCAGAAAGAAAATGTCTCTGAGTGACTGGTCATGACAGCTTTATGGAAAACAAGGCCTTTAGTTTAGAAATATATATGTAGGAAAGAGAGGGAAAAAAGGAGATAAAAATACTTGAGATGAAGCAAATAGCAAGCTGAGGCATAGGGACAAGGAAGCCTAGAAGATGTATTAGGTACCTTGTCCATTTGAATAAAACCTGGAGTAGGTTAAAAAAAAAAAAAGCATAAAATATAACCCAAAAATTTAAGTCCTGAACATGGTACATTTTATGTAGACAGTAGGGAATTACTGAGTTTGGATCAGAAAAATAACATTTAAAGAACCGAATGTATGATATTCCATGTTTTTAGAAAACGAACTGTTACAATTTAGTATTTCAGATGGCATTATATTACCGCCTTTGAAATTCCTCTGCTGTTTCCAATAGCTTAACTCTTTAGAATAATTCTAAATAATTGCTTGGGAAATGAGAAACTTTTTGTTTAACCCATGCATTCTCAAAGGTTTGGGGAAGGTGGAAATATCAGAAAGAAGGAAGAGCAAGTAGACAGGCCTTGAGTAAGTTTGATGAATTCAAAAAAGAAAGTATTGATGGGAAGTTGAAGACTTAACTTGGAAACGGGAAGGGAGCAGGAAGGAAGTACAGGAATGGTTTTCTAACAGAGAATAGCAGCCTGGCCAGGAGGCCAGCCCCTGCCGTCAATGATCTCTAGCATTTTTCTTCTGTCCTTACATTAAGAACTCAGGGGTTGATTTTGGAAGGGAGTGACTGACTGGCTGAGCTCCAGGCAGCTGTCTGTCTCCTTGTCGGACCAGGGTGGTCAGCGGAAGAATCTCTACAGGGGTTTTCCAGAAACATTCTGGGCTTACTTTGTTTGTGGCAGGCCCATAGATTTACCATCTCACCACAGTATCCAGTGGAGAAAAGAGTTAAATACCCAGTGAAAACTGAAGTATTTTCAGGAAGAGGGAAAGGACTCTGAGTGTCTTGAAAGCAACACATGCCCACTTCAAGGAGAGAGGCGATGGTGCTGTCAACAGGGCAAAGCGGCTAATGGAAAATGGCTAGTGGGGACGAGTGGAGTAGACTGTGTGTCGGGTTTTTCTCTCCCCAAAAAGACCATCTTGCTCAAGAACCACATAAAAGCACTGTTGACTTCTACCTGCTCTCGTATGGACCCTCTTAGTCCTAGCATGTTCAAATTTCCATTGAGTGGGGCACAAAGTATGTGCTCTGAATTCACGTCTGTTTGAAGAGTGAGGATTAAGAGGAAATTTTTAAGATCAGAGAGGCAAGGCGTTGAATAACTGGAGTCTGAAGGAAACTCATAAACAGGGACAATAGTGTGAGACTATTATGGAATCATAAACCTTGAGCGAATAGCATGGCACGCTGGTCCGGAAAAGAGCCAGATGGAGCTAAATGAAAACCAGAGCACCTGACCACTCGAGCTGTCTTCTCTGACTTACGGAATGAGCTGGCTTTATAGGCATGGAAAATAATTACTGACCAGATGTCTCCTGGCAGAACCTCTCTTTTTCACCTCCTTTTCAGGGTTCTGAACACTCAAGCCAAACTAGAACTCTTACAACATTACCTAAATATTTATATGGCTATGTGTTTCCTCATGTGATTGTCTCTACCTAGTGTTCCTCAGAAAGATGCATGTGAAAAACCTCATCTTGCCCAAATGTCAGCTTTCCAATGAATTGTTCTATGACGGATTCCATCAGTGAGAAGCCATTTGTCCCTTTAAATTGTCACAGAATTGTAAATGCGTCTCTCATAAAGGACTCACTCTATTTTTTGTTTGTTTTCCAGTTATCTTTTTAACCTTCACATTTCCTAAGGATAAATCAAAATGGTCAGGGCCAGACTAATATGAAATCTACACTTCTCTTTAACCTTTGTAAGCTTACGTTTCTCGAAACAGCCCCGATTTACCTCCATAAACAGGCAGGTCAGTATCTCAGTCTGCAGGAGGCAGAAGCATCCGCCTTCAGTTCGGTGATAATCTCGTAGTTTTTTTTACAAGTACCATGAAATCACATTGGGTTAACGTAACTGCCCATTGTGGCGGCTTCCCTTTAAAAGCAAGAGTGGGTTTCATAGGTTATCCATGTTTAATGAGTAAGAACTGCTGACAACTTTTAAGTGACTCTTTGTAGTCTTTAGAAATATACGTGTGTATTGCAGACTGCCTGCTCCTTGCAAATATGGGCTGTATCATCAGAGTGGCACAGTGTAACACCATAGTGTTTGTTACACGGCAGCTGCGCAGTAACCGCACGTGGCAGCGAGCAGCTCAGATCTGACCAAGGAGCAGTCCCTGGAATCTACGGGAAAGACGCTGCCTTCGCGTGGGGTGACCAGAACTTTAAGCTCTGTCTCGGGATGGGGTTCATTTCTCGTAGAAATGGTGATGGGTCCATTAAAAGCCTCTGCGTACTGGAGAAGTCCTCGTGTAGGGGGAAGAGCGCCTTTTCTAAGGAGGCTGAATTCTTTCCAGTGTGTTTTGCTGGGAAAGCCTTTCGAGACTGCTGGGCTCGTTCTCAAGCAAAGCTCTAGCAGCGAGTGGCAGTTGGCCAGTCCCGCATGCCGTTCAGCTTGTTCTTACGATCACCTGCACTCGTACCGTTAGTTACCTAGATGGTAGATAAGCACATGCTAAGGGACTCGGGGGTCATCAGCTTAGCTGACTGTGGTGAACCATGAGATTGGACAGGGAATTTCATGTTGCAAGCCACGAGAAATTGCTGTTATGCAAAACCACATCCACAGTACCTAGCCTTTCAGAAATCCCAGTTCCTCGTAAGAGGGATTTTGAGGGAGACAGTCAGTCACAGAGATACCACCAGCCAAAGGCCCTGGGATCAAATTCTCCCCTCCCCCGTTTGATATGACCAACATGTACCTAACACAAATAGGAGAAGAGCATGTTTACAGATAGTTAATGGGTGTTTTGGTTAAGAGTTCTAGAAGCAGACATGAGTTTGAATCCTGGCTCTGCCACTCACTTTGCAATAGGAATGTCTTTAAGCCTTCGCGCTTTGTCTGTAATATGAGGATAGTACAGAAGGCATCTTCTTCACTGTGTTGCTATTAAGCGTAAATGAAATAAATCATATGAATGTTTAGCTTTGTGTTTGTAAAATGCTCAATGAACATTTCCTGTTGATGTTGATACTGCTGCCGCCACTCTATTAATTATTCCATAATCGTGGAAAATAGCTCATAAAGTGCATTCGGGTGCTCAGAACTTTCTTTTACTTGATGGCAGGTTTCATACATAAACCTCCTTCCTTCCTTCTCTTTTTTCCTTCCTTTTTTCCTTTAATTTAATAATCATATATTGAGGATCTGGCCAAAATCAATATCAGGTGCTAGGGGTAATAATAATAGTAATAAATAATATTATTACTTATTAAATCAATAATAAAGTCAAATAATAAAGTTTAAAAAAAAACTTAAACTTAGTCCAAGTCTAAGTCAATAATAAACTTAGCATCTCTTCCCCAGGAGGTCACAGACAAGCAGAGAGACACGTGTATAAATAATTACAGTGCATCGTGATAATCACAATACTGGGTGCACAGAGTAAAGAGGTAGCATGGAAAAAATGATGAGTGATTCTTTTAGGGAGGGAATGGTCAGAGGTCAGGCAGAGTGAGTGTTTGCCAGATGGGCATGATAGGAAAGGCCATTTCAGCAGAAAAGGAAACAGGCACAGAGGTGCTATGGGTGTGTCACACGGTATGTCTGGGAAAGCATGACATGTTTCATAAGCATGTAACACGGTACATGCAGGGGTATACTAGGACATGAGGTTGGGACCCCTGGCACAGAGAACTGTATGTAAAGTTTGGGATTTGGGGAAAAGGCGTAGATTGCTACATGTTAGAATAATCACTATGGCAGGAGTGCAGAGAAGGAATTGGAAGGGGTGCTTGGAGGCAGGAGGATCAGGAGGGCATTGCAAACATCCAAGAGAGAAAGGTGAGCTAAGGCAGGATGAGAAAATATGACGAGACGACTCAGGGGAGATAGCTAAGAAACTCTGAAGATGTTTTCCACTGCAAGTTAGGGAAGACCCGATTGAAATAACTTAAGCAATAACAACAACAAAAAAATCTATGAGATATAGAAATTCTTT